GCGGAAATGATAACCTGTCTCGTGCCCAAGATACTCATTGTTATTGCTAGCGTTGGTTCTGCAGCAGCATATCTAGTTTTTTTGCAAAACGGCGTCATCTATCACTCTCCTCCTAGAGTCGAGCCAAAGCTCCACTGACGCATCCGTTCGATGATTCCACCAATATACCCGAGGCGGGAATCGGCGCATCAACAGAGCGATCCCGAGATGCGTCTGGCGCTACGAGGCTTCCGGGGTGTCTGAGGAGAGCTCGCTCAGAGCGGAAAGGAGAGGATATTGTCGCAGCCGGAATGCAAAGCCATGTGTGCGACGAGAATGGGGTGTTGTGCGGGATCCCGCCATGAGTGTATCCCGAGCGCCCGCTCTCGCGGAGCCGTGCTCAGGGAAACGAAATGGGGCGTATAATCCGGGGCGGACAGGCAAGGAAGACGAAGTTTGGCATAGAGGCTGGGCAAGTCGGGAGCGAGGGGCGAAGACGCGAGAGGGCTGTGCGGGAAGAGGCGGGCGCGAGCGGTAGACAAACCTCATATGTGCGAAGCGACGAGACTATACAGCAAGACGAGAGAAATCTGAGACGCGACGCAGCGCGCACGAGGACGCAGGGCGCAGGGAGTATATATGGGAAGTGCAGCAGGAGACTAGTTCGCGCGCCACCAGTGTTCAAACGGTGGATGAGAGACGCGCAGAGCGAGTGAGCGCAGAGCAGGTGCGCAATATCGGTCTGCTGCAATCGCTAATTGACTCGGCACAGAAGTCCGAATAGTCCTATAGACGACGCTGAGAGAGCACCGTACCGCGGGGACCATTGCAGTTGGCGAGAGACCAGTATGGTGGTGTCGCAGGTAGGAGGGATCATAAGTGACAATTGACGCGCTGGGAGGGAGCGGTTGGATACTTAGGGAGGTAAGGTGGGAGTTGAGAATGATGGATTGGCAGATTCGGCCCAAGCGGGCGAGAGAAGGTAGTGGGGAGGTGGCGGGTGTGTAGGGGAAGGGAGAGCAGGGTTGTATTGGAAAACAGGGTATGAGAAGTAAAGTAGATCGCTGGCGGCGGTGGTATGTTGGTCAGATAATATATATTAGCTTGATGGCTGACGAAGGCGGTTGTGTGTGGTGCGCATGATTGGCGGTGATAGATGCGAAAAGATGGGTGTAGGGGCAATGGTCTAGGCTGTGGCTCTCTTGGCTTGTAAGGCCGTTTTGGCTCCCTGGCCTCGTGGCTCTGGTGTGGATGGACTGTGTCCTTGTGCTGGCGAGCGTGGAATGGTGGCGGTTTTTGGCGGTAGGTTGGGCGGGCATATGACCGGTCGGCCGTGGAAGGCCGTTCTTTCAGGCGCATTTCAGGGCCCACCGGATCCTCCCCGCCCAGCGCCCACACACATCTCCACAGCCTCCAGCTCCACAGACGCGTTGTGCCCCGATCCGCCGCCACCTTCGTCGTCGCCGCTCGCCAGTCTATGTCCGTTCGCTGGTGGCGGTTTGACCACTGCAGCCTCCCGTGCGCCTTTTCGTTTTTCCTTTTTGTTCCGTTCTCTGTTCTTTGCAGCTTGTTCCCTCCTGGTGACGAGCGTTGGAGAGGTGAGACTGTTCACCTCCTACCGCTAGGGTTGGGTTTCCATTCCGGAGCCAACCAAGATATTTGGTGGGCGAAGAGGAATCACGAAAGTTTTCCTCGTCTTCCTTTGCTTCGCATTCCATCATTTCCATGCTCATTCTTATTGCTATCATACTCGGCACCATCGTTACATGTCAACACAAACGCCTTGACGGGGCGACCGAACGACGGGTCTAGCTTCAAAACTATCATAGTGCCCTCTTGTAGAACATGCATGGCATTGGATAAGTTCATAAATAAATGCTTCCAACTTCATATTATCGATCCGTAGAGAATCCTCTATATTGTTATTTTTATTTATATTGTTCCTGAAACGATCCTTCGCCGTTTTGTTAAAACGTCATCACATTTCTCTCTTTTGGTTCCGTACCCCAGCTCCTTTCAATTTTCGCCAACCATTAATTTCCTCTCGTTTCTACGAACTGTTCTGTTCATGATTCATTTGCCATCTCATCGCAGCGCCTCTACTTATGTCTCGTCCTTTAACCACAAATCGTAACAACGGCAGGCAGTCTACAACTCTAACCCTCTCCGTCGCCACCCGCACCGATCATCCCCTTCCCCCAACCTCTCCTCGAGCGAGGTCTACACCTCTTGGTGGTGTCCTGTGAGTCCACCGCCACCCGCCGTCGCTAACCGTTCCCCTCACTCGCCCAGGGGCTCTTCCCCCGATCGCCGCGCGCTCCGCCTCGCCCGTCTGCCCCCGCCCTCCCGCTTCCCGGGGCGTCGCCGCGACCGCCGTCCGCAGCCGGCGCCGCTGATGCCGTCGATACGAGTCGAAATCGATTCCCGGCCCGCGGGATCGCCCATTGATGTGGAGCCGTAAGCCGTGAAGATCGGGGCGGGCGA